TTATTGAAATTTTAAATGCCAATTTACAGTTAGTATTGAAGTCATTGTTCAAGGCATACCATATTAGTAAAATATCAGTTTTTGGGAGCTACACTGTACATGTTCTTGAATATTATGTATCTTATTGTGTGAAAACTAGAATTCATTGGGGAAAAAGGCAAAGTCTGGTTTAATCACATGTTCTTGTTGGTATTGAAGTTGTTGGCACTTTTTGAATAATCAACTTTATTTCATTATATTAAGTCCAACAGATTTTGCAACATTTCTTTTCTGAAAAGTTGTTGTTCCTGCGGCTTTGCTTCAGGATGGCTATAGAGAGCATGGAAAATGGTGATTATCTTCTAAAATGTTTGCCAGCTAGAAACATTATATAATGGAACTTCTTTTTATGTCAGTCCCTTAGATGTGTAGTCAAATGTATTCTCCCTTGTTGAGACAACGTTATCTAAAAAACTGGGAGTTGTGTATTCCCATAAAAGCATACACTATATTCAATGACAACATTACTATGGAATTTGTCGTTAACACTACTATGTTGTCATTCTTCCTCTTGAGCAGTAGAAAACTAACCACATAAAAACTTGCAGTAAGCTTTATAGAGCTTATTGAACGCAGTCTTTTAAAATCCTTTTTGTTGACATTGTTGTTTTAACTGTGACTCGTTCCCTTATTCTGCCAATGCCAATGTTTTTTTTTTGTATGTCAGGTAAACCATTCCATTTTAGAGGCTGTGGTTGGTCCAGAAAAAAAGAAGTGTCATGGTCAAAAGATGACATGGCCTGGATTTTCACCATAAATGACTTGTTCAACAAAATGTTTGGCAAGGATGCTCTTTCTTATGAATTTGACAAAGGTTTAAAATGAGTGGTAATATCACCCGACTGTTTACCTATCGATCAATATGATCATGAATTGTGGGAGCAGCTCTTTCCTACAGTTGTGACCAGTTTTACTTCCTTCCTGGAACAGCCACAAAGTCCACAGCCATTCCAGCTAGCAGCCCAGCTTCCAGCAACACTGGCCAGTCAGCAGCTCTTCCACAAGCCTCTCATCAAGCCCCGCCACTAGCCCTTCAAATTCCAGTTGCAGCCCTTCGTCCTGTGTCACAGTGGATACTAAAACTGCCTTTGTTCGTCAACCATCAGAACCTTTGTTTATTCATGATTTACCAATTTGTGCTGCAAATGATTGTTCCAGAGGCCAACTTGCTACCCTTGATCTTCCGCCTGTAATTCAAATTCCGGATGATGACATCGAGCTGGTTGTTGATCCTGGGTGTCTTAACAATCCTCTGCAGTCCCCAGTCAGGCCTTCAGAATCAGTGATGATGAGGATTTCGACACTGCAGTCAAGTTTGGAGATCTTGGGGTGTTTGACAGCAGAGCTCTAGACATTTGGATGAAAGCATCAAAAGCTTCCTCCATTAAGTTTAGAGTCCAAGAGGAGCAAAATTGAATGAAAACTACAAGCACCACATTAACCCCTCAGCAGATTAATGAAATTAGGGCTTTGCTTTTGGACAGTGAACCTGAAGAAGAAATCTTTAGAATATTGGTGATGTGATGGTTGATGCTGAAGACCTTTCAACCTGAGTTGTTTCAAAGCTTTCAATAAGATACTTTTTATTAGTGTGATGAAAATGCTTTTGACAATATTATTGTAAGGGTTTCTTTTCCTTCTTAGGGTTTACAGGTGGCACGCCCAAACTGCGGAGGTTATGGAACCCAGTTTTCGCTGAATTAATTTTTTCAAAGGTTTCAATAAGATAGTTGTAATAAGAATGAACATGCTTTTGACAATTATTATTGTAAGAGTTTCCTCTCCCTCTTAAGTTTTACAGGTGGCACGCCCAAACTGCAGAGGTGATGGAACCCAGTTTTTGCTGAATTAATTTTTTCAAAGCTTTCAATAAGATAGTTATAAGAATGGAAACTCTTTTGACAATATTATTGTAAGAGTTTCCTCTCCCTCTTAAGTTTTACATGTGGCACGCCCAAACTGCAGAGGTGATGGAACCCAGTTTTTGCTGAATTAATTTTTTTTCAAAGCTTTCAATAAGATAGTTATAAGAATGGAAACTCTTTTGACAGTATTATTGTAAGAGTTTCCTCTCCCTCTTAAGGTTTACAGACAGCACACCCAAACTGCGGAGGTGATGGAACCAACTTTTCACTGAATAAATTGTTTTAAAGCTTTCAATAAGATGCTTATGATAGGAAGAATGAGATTGAATTCTAACTTTTTTTCAATTTTACCAAGGGCAACACCTTCACATAAGTTATTGTCTCAAAAGTAATGTTGTTTGCTCTTTTTTTTTTTTTTAGTTTTTAGGCAAAAAGATATGGAATTGATGTCCAGCTAAAATTCCAACAAGAAACCGAATGAAAAAAAAAAATCCTGCAGGTCATTATACCAGGGAGTTTGACATTGCACTGACTGCAGGTGACAAAACAAACGGCTCTTTTAGGAGCCACCATATGTATTAAAAGAAAATGACCAATCACAGAGTAGACCAGTAAGTGTTCATTAAACTGTATCATTTTAATAATCTTTATGCCATACTTTCAGCAAAGATTGAACAGATTTAAAAGCTGTTGTGTTGAGCACAAACTGATTTTTTGCTGGTAAAAGCAGCTACTGATTTGTCAACTAACGTTAACTTGCTACAAATTAAGCACAAAATCACTGAAATACATATAAAATTCATATAGGGTTTTCAATTTCCTTTAACAGGTAAAAACATTATTTAGTAGATTTAAATAGCATGTCTGTTTAGTTAGTGTCTAATTATAAGGTAAAATTTGCTTTTGTGGTTTTACTAAAGTTGCATGAAGAAGTTGCATTGTTTTGGTATAAAAAATTGATGTTCTATTTTCAACAATGACTACACCTTTCCATAGATACTATTGTCTTTCAAGGGTAGTGTTTTATGCTCTTTTCAACTTACACTTTAGTGAATAATATGATATCTATGTCAAGCTTACATTTCAAAGAGGCAGAGAAGAATAAAAAAGCAAAATTAACCTATGTACAGGTCAAACAAGGAAGTTTGACAATTAACACTGCTCTTTGCAGGTAAAAAATGGAAGAGAAACAACTTCCCAGATATTTCAGGGAAGTGAAGTCAACTTTAAAGCCATTGCCTGAATGTTTGATCAATATTGAATAGACTGCAAAAAAACTGTTCATAAAAAGAAGTTTCAAACAGTTACTTTTTTAATATAGAATCTTATTGGAAGTTTTCCATTCCTTGTGGTGGAGTACAGATCTGGCCACCAGATTACCTCTACCTGCCTAGTGGTCCGTCCTTGTCTTGGACCCACCTCCACACTTGCTTTGGCTGTTAGATGTTTGGTTAATAGATCCCCTGATGACTCCTCATTTCTGACAGTGCTCCAAAAACTACGGTTCTTGGCAGCCTGGAGCTCCTCCTGAGTCCTAAGGTCAGATCTTTTCTCCACTTTCTGTAGGTCACTGTACCAGGCCGTATCATTTAGTTTATGGAGGGTTGCTCATGCAATGCATCAGTAAATGAAGTGAGGCTATACACTTTATAGGAAACTCGCCTTGTTGATGGGCAGTAAAATGGAGGCTTCTTATGAGGTAACTGCCTCATGCTATGCATCCTGCATCCCATTTGAGAAGCTAAGTGCCCAAAGTACCTTTCAGGAACTTGTGGGAATTGTAAAGTCACCCAACCACCTAGAAATGAAAGTAGACAAAACCAGCTACAATTAAATTGGGTCTTCAGCACAGTTTTTTGACAGGAGAAGTTTAAGCTTTCTGAGATCATCTGACATTCTAAGTAAAATAGAGATTTTATTCATTCATTCGCACACAGTCGTTCTGTTTCGTCGCGCAACGCTCTTCTCCCTTTAATAGCCGGGACCATTGTGTGGCGAGCGAAACTCAACTAACGCGCGCTCGTACCAGTGAGAGAATCGGCTAAATGACGCGCAAAGTACTTTGCTACTTAACTGAGAAGCTAAATGCTAAAGAAAATAGCAAAGTTTGAGGGTAAAGACTGTACGCACAACTGAAAGGATAATTGGGTAGTACCTTAGGTGGCTTTTAACGAGGAATATTCAAGTGCGTAGATCTAAATTAAAAGCGAAGCTAAATGCTTAGGTGGTTTAAGGCTTTGTGCCGTTTAAATTCGCCACTTACCACGTAAAAGAGGATCAAGGGAAGTGTATATCTGCTCCGTAAGCCCTGCCAGCCACGATAAATATCCTATTTTAAAATCTTGCGATCTCCGGTTAAGAAATCCAATGTCGGGCACTGAAGCCTCGTTCTCCTCGTTGTCCAAAAACACCACATCTAAAGCTCGATCACCTTCCACCGTGTGTTTTCGTTCCGCGTGCTTTTGAATTGCACTAAAAGTTTTAAACTTTCCAGTTCATAAACAACATTTCTGTGAAAACGTAAAGCGCAGATCCACGTCGTTGTCAGCTATAACGGATTCGTTAATATCTCACCGTCGATTTTCCTGTAGCAAACTACAAAATTTGGCAAGTAACATTCCTTGTCAATCACATAGGTTATGAGAATAAAGGACGTGATCACACAGCGCTTGATATAAAATAACTTCTCCTAACCGTTTAAGAGGGAAATGTGTGAGGACAGGAAAAAGGAATTTACTTTTGATATGTGGGTTAAGTACGGGTGTTCTTGAAACAATGGATTCTGCTTAGAGACAATTCTCACGTACCACGTGCTACCGTCCGTATCGGAAGTCTTTTCCCGTGAATGAAAACATGGACTCAAACGAGCGAGAGGAGTTATGCATAAAAGGAGAGCGAGTATTCCGAGTAAGGGATGGAAAGTATTGTTCAAGAGCGCATTCAAAAGAAAAAGGAAACAAAGCAAAATAAGGCATGATAGAGGAGAAAAAATGGGAGGAAGGATTGAAGAATGAAAACTTTTGTGTACCAGAAAGAGAGGAGTTGCCGCAAGAGGAGAAATATGATGAGAAGACTCGTGGACCAGAACTACAGAAGATGCCAGAAGAGGGAGAGGAGAATGAAAAGGTTCGCGAATCAGAAAGTGAGAAGGTGGCAGAACCACTGCCCACAAACAAGAAACGGATCGAGGCCAACAAACTATCTCCAGAGGCAAATACTTTTTCCAGAGGCAAGGTCATGGTCAATTTATCACATTCGAAGTTAAAACGGAAAGGTCATACCGAAGAGAAACTTGTACGTGCCGGCCGCAAAAATTTCACGGAAACAAATCGAAGTTAGCTCCAGAAAAAATAGCATCGGCAAGAACTCAGAAGCTCTTGCGTTTAATGAGATCAATAGGTCTTTGCTGAAAGTGGATAAAAGCCAAAAAATTGGAAACGGAACCTTCGGGAACTGCTACATCGTCCTATACCGCAATGAATACCGCTTTGTTGCTAAAGAAATGAAAATAATTGAATCCCCAAAGAAGACAAGAGAGGAAGTGTGGCGAGAAGCATCGGCAATCACTAGAATTGGAGACCAGTGGGGAATCCCTCTTCTGTTTGGTGTTTCCACAGATCGGGCACCATTTTATCTGGTTCTACAGTTCCACACTTTACGTAGTGAAAGCGTAACACTTTTTAAGGCCGCTTCGGAAAAAGTTATTCAAGATGTTGCCATGTGCGCAAATATCTTAAAGTAAACATGCGAAATACTAATGTTCATCCACGAGAGAGGTTTCTTGCACAACGAGCTGAAGAGCAATAATGTTGTCATTGACGGATCGGAAAACAAGCCCGTAATTATCGATTTTGGAAAAAACTGCAAGATTGTTAAAGCCAGGTTACGTAAACCCAAGGTGAACATTGAGAAATCGATGAACAAATTTCCGCACATCGCACCGGAAAAACATCGCGGTGAAAGGCAGTCCATCGCTAGCGACGTGTTTTCGTTTGGCTATCTGGTCACTCGTTTATTTAAAGACGCTAAGGTAGAAACTCCACCAGTCCTGAAGGAAGTGGCTAAGAAATGCCAGAGGTCAATCCCAGCAAAAAGTCCTAAACTGGTCGACTTTTTCACCATCCTGACTAAACTATCATAAATGATTTTACTGTGCGTTCGATTGATCGTCTTCAGGAATAAGTTGTCCGATGTCTTTCAACCTTTTGTAATACGTCAATTGGAATAAGACTTACTGAAAAAATACTGAAAATCACTAATTATTGGCTTCCATTTACAATCCAGAATGTGTTGAGAATTTATACTTGAGGCCAGTGTTTCATTTAAGTGGTGCATAATTTTCGGTCGAAGAGTTTTTTTTCAAATTTCTGCGTGTCATCATTCCGGAATTCGATCACTCGAACGCTTTCTTATTGAGGTGGTCAAACGGGCATCTTTTTTTCTCGCACAACCCTCATCATGATCACACCAAAAAATCTACTTTCTTCAATACAAGGAGAAACCACCTTTCAAATCATTGCGGAAGCTTAATGAACGTCGAAAGTGGGTTGCTCGATTAAAATTAAGCCTTGAAAGAAATTTCTTTCGCCGTCTAGTTCGGCCATTTTTAGTAGGTTGGCCTTATAACTTCCCCTGTGCAAGGAGGGAAACTTCTCGTGCATCCTTCTTTTGTACTTTTTAGGAACTGTGTAACTTATGTAAATGTGTGACATATTTTTTAACGCCTTTGCTATAGAAATTATGTGCATAACCAGCGAAGTTGTTGACTTAACTAGTTTATAGATGTATTTGTGATGATATTCACGCAATTCTGCAAGGAAACTGAGCGCTTTGTGAAATTTTGTCACATTTCTCCGGTTTTCGACAGTCAGACGAAACCATTGCATAATACTTATTGTCGATTATGCCTTATGCTGCCAACGCGACAAAAGTCGACCAAGGATTAAAATTTAGTAAAGGAGAACATGCAGGCTTTCTTTTTTGTTAATACTTAGAAAGTTCAAGCGGCATTTAACAAGAGAAGATTTTCTTAGCTTTAATTTAGGGGCCAATCTGGATGATTATATATTGCCTGGTTTGAATCTGATACCTATGGCGATGGAACCGTTGCTGGGCACGCTTTTCCTTTCCAAAGCTACGAAATGATTTAGGTGGTATTTTCGTATTTCCTCTGGTTTACAGTAAGGATGATAATGCTGTTTACATTGTACAGAAAGTATTAAGGACAGCAGGGGCAGGGTTGCCTTTATTAATCTCCTTTTTTTACTTTATGGAAGTAAACACAAAATTCAAAAATTTGCTTTGTACAAGGAGGCTGTCACAAGAAAAATGGCAAGATATTAGAATTGATTAATTGTAGTTTGGTAAAATAAATCCAAAGTGCCCGGCGGCTGCCGGTTACAGTTTGAACAAATTGCGCGTGATGTGCAATGTCGTAAGCCCTCAAGTAAAGACGACATAATGCGGTCGTCCTGATTCTGCTGTTATTCAAACTGCAATAAGCTCGACCAATTTGTAACTTTTTAAATTCGTTTCGAAAACAAACTGTTGATACCGCTCCAAAGCGTCTCCTTTGTTGTTTTAATCTGTTACGTGTAGACCTTATCCTTTGTTAAAACCTTTTCGATATGGACAGGAAACAGGGCAGCTGACTTTCAAGTTAAAACAGGTGGGATGTTGGAAGTTTTTGGACTTATGAGGTACAATTATCTATTCATTAAACATGGACTGGTGTTAGTCGATTTAGGCACGTAGGGTCAGTTCGCAAAAGTCTCACATGTATCCCATTTTCTTGGTAATTTTTATTGTTATTTAACATTGCAGTCACTAATATTTTCTCTGGTTTTGTTGTAGCCAGTAGAAGGAATCACACGAGCGACATATACGTTTGCATCGGCTAAAATTAAGGCATCATCCCTCAGGTTGAAACGCCATCAAAATACTTATTAAAATTCATCTCGAATGATATTTTTCTGTTAGTCTTAATCCGTTTTATCGGTGTGGAGTGTAATAAACGTTTATACTTGTTTTCAAAGTATGATAGGCAAAATCCGTTTACCACTAACAGGATTCATGAGCACCTTCTAGTCTCCTGCTCCAATATTCTAATAGGCTGATTTAGCAACAGAACGGGAACGTCAATTGACGACTGCGCGCGCAAATCAAACAACTGGCTTGACCAATGGCAGAGCTGCAAATTGCGCACCGGAAGTCGAATTTAGTCCTTTCCCCGCGCTTTCCCGTCGTCGAATGACGTTCCCGTTCTGATGCTAAATCAGCCTAATATTTCAACAGCAACGAAGAAGGGTATTTTACATGTGGCCGAGTAGAAGGAACTAAAAGCAACTAAAAGTTCAACTGTGCTATTTGGCTCCATTTGAGTCTTCGCAAAATTATATTTCTGCTCTTGTTATTCGTAATTGGTAAATAATAGAAGAAAAGACTTTGTAAGGTGTACTGCCCACATCTGTTCATGTTGCCCTGCTGGTGTAACTAGCTAGCCGCGAAGTGAAGGTTACCCGTACGGAAAGTTATATACATTGCTGTCTGCGCATACTAGTGTTGTAGTCTAGATAACAGACAGCAGACAATACAAAAAAAACACAAACTTACAAGGTTTGTAGCTCAGATAGATTGGAAAATATCCCAGGTGGAAGCTGTTTAATTTTGTTGCCGGACAGAACTCTACAAGAATAAGGTTAATTATTTTAACTGCGTATCTCATGACAACAGCAATCAGTCAACCAGTTTAGTGGCAGCTAGTGTAGTCATCATCATCATCATCACATTTATTTATACACGGTAAGAACAATCAGGCTAAATATACAATATACAACATCCAAAAATGTTTAGTCAGTTGTGCCAGTTTGTAAGGGTCAGTGGAGGAAGGGAGGGATTCAGCGAAAATAGGTAAGTTGACACTTACACGAATTGCTTGGTTCCATTATATCCCCTCCATAATTATAGTGTAAAAAGTTTGGCGTTCTATAAAACGTCTTTGCGAGCTTATGTTTTCGCTGTGCGACAAAAACTGCGAGAAGACCTCAGTTTTTGTTCCATGTCGTTCCTACGCTAAAGGTCAGTAAGGCATAAATTCTTTTCTCATTGGGAAAAGATATACCTTTACATGTTATATAGCAAAAAAATATAGTTCAAGATCTGAAATGATAACATTTGCTTATGGATACATTATAGAAACTGCGCTGAAAAGACCTGAAGCACGTGCATTAGAGCATTTCCTCTTTCATTTCGAAAAGTTCACTTCTTCCTGGAAGTCGGAAGCTCTTAGTGTAGTTGAAAGAAGACACCATAGTTCAAGGATAACTATACGAGTTCAGAAAACAACAGTATCGGTGCCCATGTTTATTAGGTTTATGTACTCGGGAGTGGAGAGTAGGATTGAAGGGAGATGTCTGCCCAAATCATCTCCATCTCTGTATTCTATTTTACTTACACCCTGTCTCTATGTTACAGTTAGTCATATTAAGTATCACTGTTCAAATCCATCATGCTTCGCGGCCCGCTAGTCCCGTTTCATTCTCCTTTTGGTGCGGTTCTGTGGTAATTTTCCGGTAGGTGCAGCTCAGTGAGGAAATATGCTTCTGCTTTTCTATGCTTATGGTTGGTCTTGTTTCTTTAAGTTCTGTTATTCAAATGTCTTCATCCATCCACTGTTTCTAGCCTTGTAATTGTTATAATATGTTTAAAAATAGGCAAGTGGGTGCCCTTCAGCCTTAGATTTTAAGGTTAACAATGCACTGTGTGATTTAATTTGAAAGAGTGCTCCGATTCCATTTTCTTTTTTTTTAGGAATTATTTCTTATCTTATATTTAAGGATAATGGAAAATGGATATTTAATACATTTATTTATATTATTGATTGATTTAAATCCTTATTTAGAAATCCATAGAAGATGATGTGAGAAATTATACAGTATATGATGCAGGAAGTGCTGCTTTGAGAAAGAATGCTGCTGTGACCTAGTCAAGAGTAGTAGATTGCAACATGAAGAAAGTCAGTTAAAGAAGTAGAAAATGATGGAGATAGATAGGATGATACGAAGCCACAAGAGACTATACACAATAGGAAAAATTTCTGAAGAATTAATTTTTTCTTTTCCATAGACTGCATAAGTATATTTTTTCATTGACTGTATGTAAATATTTTTTAAAAAACAGGTTGCAACTGCTTTGTACTCTTTTCTGTTTAGTAAACATGTTATTTTTATAACTTTTCTTAAAACAAAACTTTTCCTTTTCATTGAAAGTAATGTATTCAAATTATTAACAAATTTTGTGTTTTATTTTTATTTGCCTGGATGGTTTTCATGCTACTCATTTGCTTCAGCCAAATTATGGTTGGCCAAGCGGTCTAGCTCCCGCTTGGCTTCGGTGACTACATCTTTAATTTGTTGGGCCTTCTCTTTAAAGTGTTTCAGTAAACACTGGAAGAGAAAAAAAATTTAATTTGTTTCCACTTTTCAACACACAATTACATTTATATGGCGATTCACAAAAACTAGTTTCGTATAACGACCTCTTCAGTTGATCGTCGATCCACCAAATAAATTTTACGCTGTCACGTCTCGACGTTTTTGACTGGTCAAAATAAAGAAAACAAGTTAACTCTTGGCAGTCTGCAAGCCCAAGACTATCAGTTACTTGGTCTAGTCGTTGCTGAACCATTTAAATCGAGTTCAAAAAGTGGCTTAATAGACAAAACGGCTCAAAACGTAGTCAAAG